CATCCTGTGACTGCTGTGTTGTCAGTGAGCTACAGAAATGCCGTCCCTTTGTTTTGGATGTTAAACTCCGTCTGACTTCATTGTTGCTGAATTTTGGCACGTTACACTCTGGGCTTCTCCAGCAGCAGCAGAAACACATGGTCTATTAAAGTGGGAATCTTTGGGGACGCGGAGGCAGAGGAACGAGCCAATCATACATGGCTTTTCCACATTCCATGTTTTTCAGCACTTGCAGGAAGCTTTCCGGATGGTATGTATGTGTGTGCCCAGGGAGGGCGGGAGGGGAGCGGGGTGGGCGAGGGGAGCGAGCGCGTGGCAGCGCAGGCACGATGCCGGGATGTGTGTCATGGACGCGGCGCGGTCGGTGCTGCCGGGCAGACACCCCTTCCCCATGCCGGGCTCGCCGAGCTGCGCAGACCTGAGCGGAATCTTAAACGCCGAGGAGCAGATTAGCATACTAACCAGTGGTGTCAACCCTGCAGCAGCCATGGCCATCGCCCCGCTCCCACAGCCTGCCAGACGCTCAACTGGCTCCTTTGTCAGAGCCCTTTTTATGTTTGTATTTGGCTTTTGTTTCCCAATCAGACCCTAGAAATTCATTAACAGCAATGAAAGGCAGAGATGCAAAAACCTATAATGAAAACAAATGATCTATTTAAACGGTGCTGGGGCTGAAAGGAGGGGGCTCACGGCGCCGGGACCAGAGGAGAAGGAAATCCTGCCACCTGGAAAATGCCTGGACATGCATGTCCTTCCCCGTGCCAAGGCTCCAAGGAGACCGTTACTACAAAGCCGGTGGTGTGTGTAAGGATGTTGTAGCATTGTCTTTACAGAGTCTCAAACAAATACCAGCAACCAGCCAGAAGGAGAGGTCGGTCCTCATTGTCCCTGCTCCGGCTGCCAGTAATGCAGGAATTACTCTCTGCTACTCAACGGGCTTTAGAGAAAACTTTCAGTGCCTGCAAACACAGACTTTTAAAATCACTCAAGTTCATTCACACCAGTCCTCTGCTCTGGCCCAGCAGCACAGGCATCCCCAATGGGAAGGCACGGTGGCCACAAGGGACGGCATGGACGAGCCACTGTCCCTGTGCCCAGAGCCTCCAGGATGCTGGACATGGCACCAGGCTCTTCAGGTGTCTTCCTCTCCTGTATTATTCCTTAAATAGATTATTTTGCAAATGTTACTGTCCCCTAAAGTATCACGTGGTTGTGGAGAATAAAAATATTTAATCCCAGCATGGCCTTTTTATCAGGATCGATCAAATAGGGAAAAAACTGAAATAATCTATGTTGTGTGGTCTTTGTTCGTAAATGGTGTGTGTGGGCTTTAAATGTCACAGAGGCACAGCTTATGTATTTGTCATAGGATTTTTAGGCAAATCTGGAAGTTCTCAGCCCCAAAGCTCTGTGCCCAGGTTGAGTGTGCAGGTCCGTGGGGCTGGAGTCCAGCAGCACGGCCAGGGACAACCTCCCACCGCCCTCGGCTCAGAGAGCGCCCGGCACAGCATCCTGGAAAATGTGTCACTGGCACAGTTCTCTGAGCTCAGAGAGTCTGTGTAATCTGTACCTTTGGGAAGCAGGCATGGTAGCAGGGAAAAGGGAAATGGGCTTCAGTCTCTTTGTCATTCTGTACCCAGCTCTTACTACAGGCTGGGTCACACGGGCAAAGGCTCCTGGGCTCCGTGTGTGTCTAGAGAGGTATCCCGCTAATTCCAGCTGATTTCACTGGCTAAGAACCTATAGCTTAAATGTTTTAAAGATAGACAATGTAAAGACTTTATCTTTCAGAGAAATTAGAAGAAAATCTCCCAACACCTGCCACATGTCCACATTTTCCAGGAGGAAAACAACAACCAGCTCATGTCTGAGGAAACCTCTCTAATCTGTACATGGTAAGGACATGCTGGATAATCTTACTCAGTGTAGTTTAATCTACCTTCACAATTAGATAAACAAACCAAAGCCGTTAAGAACCTTCAAAATTTATTCTAAACTACCACCAGTCCCCACCATTACACTTTTAATTGCAAACACAGCAAAACAGTGGTGAAATCAGAATCACAGACTGGTTTGTGTGGGAAGGGACCTTAAGGCTCATCTCACTCTACCCCCTGCCATGGGCAGGGACACCTTCCACTAGCCCAGGTTGATCCAAGCCCCATCCAACCTGGCTTTGGACACTTCCACGGATGGGGCAGCCACAGCTTCTCTGGGCAACCTGTGCCAGTGCCAAATGTTTTCTGCTTGCTCAGGTTTCCTACTGACCATGGCTGGACTGCTGATGTGGGGCCAAAGAGTTTTGGAGCCACTGAAATAAAACCACATTTTCACAGCAGCTTCTGAAAGAGCCTTGTGCCAGTTAAAAGGTATTCTGGGAAATCACATGAGAACTGTCTCTCATATGTCAGTATATCACCCAGGTGATGAGCTACAAACACATTCCCACTCTTCTTGTTCAGTATTGAAATAAAGTAGAGGAAAGTTACTAAAAATATGTTATATTCTTATGCCAGAAGATCCAGACACACATTAAAAGACATTAACAAATACCTTCTTTTACTCTGAAATACAGCCTTGGTCCCATGTTCTACATTTTCTTCACACTTTCAGAGGAGCAATTAGCCACTAAACAGGTAATTATCATAATACCCCATAATGAAATCCATGCAACTATAGCAGAGTATGAACAATGGCCTTTTCCTCACCAGGTTGAAATCAAAGCCTTCTGTCTAATGACCAAGCCTATTCTACATCCAAAAAGAACACCACAAATAGCAGGGAGAAGAAAGTTCCTTTTTTACAGGGGAAGGGAACAGAGTGTGTTCTACTGACACAGAACCAATATTGTTGATTTTCCTCCCTGCAGCTGCTTAATGCTTTGGGTCTCTTCTGGAGGCACATGAGCCTTACACTATTCTGCCCTTTGGCAAAATGAAACTGTACCGGCTTGTACCAGCTGTACAAATTTAAAAGTTACAATTCTGAGAAACAAAAGCCCATTTTTCCACGGATATTTAGAAGAATTATTCTCCTCTGGCTTCTTCCCACTCCTGTGAGGTCCTTCCATATTCACTCACACTTGCTTTTCACCACTGTGTTTGTCTCTTCAATTAAACCTGCAGTTTTAATTAACTAAGATGCTCAAACCAATCACCCACAAAGCTCCCAGAGGTGTTCACTGCCCATCTTCACTGTTTCACCCCAGTACCAGTTTTGGTTTGAGCTTGATTCACTTTCTCATAGCACCATCACCCCCCTCTGTCTGATAAAGTTTTGAGGTCGGGAGGGATTCCCTCAGCATAATCCCACTTTTCCTGCTCCAGTCATTAATGGAAACGGCACACAGATTGATCCCAAAATGGAGTCCTCTAGTAGATGCTGCATGTTTTTAAAGAAAACTTGCAATTTCCAATACAACAAAATCAGTCAAGACATAAGAGTGTGAGAAAAGTCATAAGTGACTAAATGTGCTCTTTCTCCAAAACGTTTCCAAACATCTCCTTGCCACCTCCCTTCCCCCCTCTTACCTTCTCCATGCTTTTCTGTCCTTTCTGTGTTCCATCTTTTTCCCCTCTCATTCTCATATCAAAGTCAAGAACATCAACCACAGAGAAGGTGGTATTTCAGCATTCCTCCCCTAAGTCTCTGGATTCAGGTTACAACACCCGAAGAACACAATCCGCCCACCCCACAAAGGACACCAAGGCCTGCAAAGTTTCTTAACTAAATGGAAAAAGTAGATGCTTTGCTCAGGATCCTCTGTGATATTGAGAGCACAAAGCGAATGAGTGTCTGCCCATCACACAATTTCCCAAGGCTTCCATTTAATTTATAAGTCTGATGATTCTCAAGAAATTGAAGTGTGCACTTGTGCTGTAAACAAAATACTTCAGATAAAAACGTAGGAAGAAAGCAGGAGAGAAGCCTTCCTTAAAAGATAAGAAAACCCCAAAAAGTAAATACAAGAAAAAAAACAACTCCAAATTACATTTCTCAGTTTTCCATCGAGATAGAGAACTCTGATGAGTATTTTTTGAAGCCTGCCATTAATCCTTCCACTCCTATCGGTATCACACAAGGTTAGTTTGATATTACCAAGTATCCCAGAGACTATGAAGGACTTTATAATGACTCAGAATATACAGATATATTAAAACCAGGGACTTAACAGTGACTCACTGATTTCTAGTTACACACAAAATAATTCTGAATGAAATTACTATACTTGGACCACTGGTACAGAGCTTTCCAGTGTCAAATCTCACAGTGGAATGACTGGTAGGAAGGGAAGGGATACTATTCCCACATTCAGGAAGATGTGCTTTCTGCCCGCACATCATTTACCACAGTTTTAGGAAACTGAATATTTAAGACTTGAAACAGGCCATCCAAATATGATTTACTTTCACCAATTCACACAGAAAATGAACAAGGTCAGGAGTCTTGTCCTTTTCTCATCCTTCCTTATGCCTGTTTGACTTGGACAGACATTCAAGGGACAGTTTTCCTGCTAAGAAGATTAAGCCAAGGGCACTAATCATTTGGCCTGTTCTTAATGACAGAAACTAACAGTTAGGGTCAACACAAATAATTAAATACAGGGCCCCAGTGGTTCGTCACCAGCCCACACAGAACTACAGCCTGGCAAGGTATCAGCTTTGTAGACATGTAGGAAAAAAATAATCCAAGGATGGCCTTCTTCAAAAAACAGTTTTTCATTGAAAATAAGAGGACCCAACACAACTGACCAGTGAGTCAGGTGCTCAGAAACACTTCATGCAGATGGCATTTAAATAAAACCACAGAGCCATGAGAAGGAAGAGCAAGCAAACCCTGTGGCTCTCTGAGAACACAAAGAACTCCCAGCTCTGCCAGAGAACAGCACAGTTCTGTTACATGTACCTCTCTTAATCCAGGTGATTTACATTACACATCCCAGGAGGGCGACCAACACCAAAATCACCTCTCCAAGGCTTACAAAAATTAGGTCTTCCTACCTCAGCGTGGAAATGTAGAGATCACAGGATCTGGCGCCAGCGAGTGGAGCAGAGGAGACGGTTCCTATTCGGACTGGAAAAAGTCAGTATAAACTCTCCAGATCAAAGCCTGCAAATGAAAGAATGCAAAGTATATAAAATATCCTGAAGGATTTGGAATAATGCAGCAAAAGAAACAGAAGGTTGGGTACAGCGTGGAGTTGTTAATATTTTTTGTGTTCAGTTCCAACTCAGTCAACATTCCCAACTGTTCTACCTCTTGTGACACTGAAGGCTGACCTGCAGCACCTTTATGACAGGTATATTTTGTCTCCTACAAACCAGACAGCTGCACCTTACAGCTTCTTGGATTCATAGGGAAAATACTGTTTTAGCTACATTTAGGTGGCTTTGCCAAAGGAAAGCCCACATGTTTATCTGTACCACAGACCTGGCTCAGCCATCAGCAAACACAGAAGCTCTGTGGTCTGTTCTGTTCTATCCAGTGCAGCCCAGCCTGGCTGCTCACATACCCAGCAGGGGAGTAGAGACACAAGGAAGGAAAATAAACACAATGGAGAGTCAAGGAAAACAGCTGGATGCATGAAAAGCCGCCTGCTTCCCAAGGAAAACCATCCCTGCGGGTGCACAGCTTGGCACCTGGGTGGGCAGCTGACCAGGAGGTGTCACGCAACCGATGCCAGGAGGGTTTTGGGATGGGAACTCTCTCATTCTGATGGTGGTTCTTGTTGCAGTCACATGTCTGAAGGTGTCAGGAATTTATCACTAGGAATTACAAAAGCCTCATGAAATACTGTTTGCCTCTGCCCAGTTTGTTACTCCTCTGTCTACCCTCTACACTTGAAGTTGTGGCTGCCCTATGCCTGGGGGTGTTCAGGGCCAGGTTGGACGGGGTTTGGAGCAGCCTGGTCTAGTGGAAGGTGTCCCTGCCCATGGCAGGGGATGGAATGAGATGCATTTTAAGGTTCTTCCAACCCAAACCATTCCATGATTCTATGACACACTTTGGGACACGAGTGTCCACCACACATTCAAAGCCTGGTTTAAACCAACAGAACAAGGAAGCTATCCAAAATAAAAAAGGTACTTTCAGGAAAATGGAAGTTGTTTCCAAACAATGAAAATAGAAAAGGACATAAATCCAGCACGCTAAGTGCAAACCCACGATAAGGCAAGGCAAAATGGGGCCTGGAGAACAATCACCAGAGTTCAGGGAGCTAATAAAAACTTCTCCAACACAAAAGCAGGAAGCCTGTCCGTCACCCAGTGCTGCTGATGGATGGGCAAGGCGTAAAGGGGGGAATTAAGAAAGATAAGGGCACAGCAGCAAAATTAAATTAATTCCTTGCACTGCTATTCACTATGGAGGGGTCAGGAGGGTTCATATGCCAGAGCAACAAATCACTAGAGGCAGACAGTGCTCCCTGCAGAGTCCTCAAAGAGCCCAAATATGAAATTGCTGAACCTTCTTCCTTTGCATCTGAGGACCGGAAGGTGATAAATTTTTACAATAGGCTTTAGGAGTGGCCATGGGAATGACAGACCACAAAGTCTGACTTCCAGTACAGGCAAAAGGGTAGAAAACTGTGGGACTAGTTGGAATTAGCAGTGATGAGTAAACACGTGTCTGGGGAGGAGCCTGAACGCCAAGAGTTTATATGTACAGATCCAAGTTGTCTGACAAGGAACCAGTCCTGCTAATACGGGAGATTTGGCCTGATACAGTGGAATCAGATTTTCTAAAAGCTTTTCTAGAACATCCCTCACTAAAGGTTCTTAAGGAAACTAAACTGTCATGGAGAATGGAGGATTAATCTTACTGTGAATTCCCGATAAAAAGATAGGGGAAAAAAGGGCACGAACGTAATGTTAGCAAGGGAGGGAGCAGAAATTTTGCACTGCCTCAGCTTAGTTATAAATAACCTGGCAAGGGGAGACAGCAAAGTGACATGCAGGTAATGAAGGTAACACATAGAATTTTTCAGGAAAGTAAAGTTTAAGAGTAACAGGGAAAAGTTCCTGCCAAACCTCCCAGAGCAAGACTGGAGACAGGATGCTGGTGCACATCCGTGGCTGAGGAGGATCCTGGATTTAAAATCCAGGCATTTTAAATCTGCCTCTTTTAAAGGCAGATATCTGTTTGCTTTAATAAATGGATTGGCTTGGGGAACCACTTGATCCTGGTGCCCTTGGACAAGGGGGAGAGGGCAGGCTAAGTCCTAAGTCTGCTTTTTTTTTTTTTGGCCACACAGAATAGCATCGCCCATTCTTAGAGAATCCTTAGAGGAAGAGCAGAGGAACAGAAGGCTGAAGCTTCTTATTTGGGCCATAGAATGGGATCCATCACTTGGACTTCAGCAGCTAGTAGGAGGCTGGATTCCCTCAGTCTCTGAGGTGGCACTGGAGATGTGACAACTTTCCTTTGGCTGCTACCAGGTTAGCTCCTGGTCAATACCTGACTCCATCCTCTGACTGACTGATAAAAGCAGAAAGCCATGGCTGTGAGAAATCCCCTGGTTTGGGGAGAACAGGGAGCAAACACCTCCCACCCTGGGAGATCATCCTCCAAATCCAATTGCAAACGGGCTGAAATCCCTTTCATTGTTCTGGGATGGACGCAGGTAGGAAGCGACTGCTGAAGCTGCTCTCCCCCTGCCCCGGAAAGTGTCTATGAATGGCATTGTGGCTCGTGGCCCTGCTCCCGGTGTCACAGCAGTGGGCACAGCCCACATCCCCCGGGACAACTTCCCGCACCCGGGCATAGCCTCTGCTCACGTCCCACAGTTGGTAGGATGGGATGACGGAGACAAATGGCTCTGAACCTGTCACAAAAGGATTGTTTTCTAGAAAGGGAGCTCTGGTGAAAGGAGGCTTGTCCCTCTGCCCAGCCTCACTGGCTCCTCTCCTGGGGCTCCTGATTGACGTGGGAATCCCTCCTGCGTGGCTGTGACTGGCGGGGAGCTTTCCCCATCAGCAGCTGCCTTGATTCTACAGCAGCTGAGTTACAGTACGGCAAAGAAAGAGCACCCGACAAAGCCCACACTAAACAGCCGGAGCGCTCCTCGCCAGCACAGAGACAAAGCCCACGGGGAGCCGGGGGTGCCCCGACCCTGCCCAGGGCAGCAGCGGTCGGGCAGCACCTGCCCCCCTCGTGCAGGGCCGGGGGCACACGTGGGCTTGGGGCGCTCGCCTTGTCCCACCACGTGCCCACACACTGAGGCCACTTGTTCCCATCTGATCGCAATTAGCACCGTGCCAAATTCCCTGTGCCCCACGCTAATTCAGGAGGATGGGCATGTCACACCCTGCCAAGAACTACAGCCACCACTGAGCCAGGGCCTGCCGACCCTTTCATTAGGCTTTTGTTTCAGAAGTGAGGGCTTGTGGACTCCCCTTCTTTGTCAGAAATGCCTGTGGAGGCACTAGAGGAGGCAAGAACCTCAGGTCTGGCCTGAAGGATGCTGAGTGTGTGTTGGAGCAGGGCAAGGGACGGCTGCCACACCCCCTGCTCTGTCATGGATAACCTGAAAATTTAGAAAAATCAACTGCCTCCAAGATGTTGAAAGGCCAAAGCTGCATCATTGCTGCAGAGCTGGTGCGGGTGCTGTGGGAAGGGAGCAGGGAGCACGTCCCTCCCACCCCTCACCCCAAACCAGCCACAGAGTGACCAGCCAGGACACAGCCCACACTGCACCCACTGTCCCACCCCCCCCCAACTCTGGACAGCTACAAACAAACCAAATGCTCTCAGGACAGGGTTGCACCCCGATCACACTGGGCTGCACCCTGATCACACTGGTCTGACCACATGCAAGATCATTCTGAAAACCTGAGATGAAAATGGAGAAAATATGATTGGTTTCACTAATGCCCTGTATCAGATGCACTGTGCTGTGCAGCAGCTGCTCCAGTTCCCAGGCAGCTCTCAGAGGAGCCATCATCACCCCACACAAGGGAGTGGAGACGCTCCTCCAGTGACCTGCTCAGGCCCCATGCCCAGGGGCTGTGTCCCCCTGCAGACCAAGCCACGAGGGGTGATGAAAACATGCTCCTTGCTGCCTTTTTGTCTCCAGCTGCCATTTGAACATCACTCCTGACGTCATCTGGGGATGCCATGATGACAGTCAAAATGCCATCCACAAATTATGCCCACTAAGCTGGTGATGCTCCTAACTTTTCTGGGTGGTGTTTCCCACCTGCCTGATGATGGCCAGAATAGAATCACAGAACAGTTTGGGTTGGAAAAGCCCTCTAAGCTCATCGAGTCCAACTGTTCCCCCAGCACTGCCAAGGTCAGCACTGACCCATGTCCCCAAGTGCCACATTCACATGGCTTTTAAATCCCTCCAGGGATGGGGACTCCACCTCTGCCCTGGGCAGCCTTTGCCAGTGCTGGAGAACCCTTTCCATGAAGGAATTTCTCTCAATATCCAACATTACACAGATTCAGCAGTCTGGCTTTTGAAGGACACTCTGCTCTCTTGAAACAGACCTGTCTGCAGTACCCAAGGCAGTTGTAGCCTGTTGTAAAACCTCAGTAATTCCCACTGATTCTGAGGAGAATGCTGTGAATTACCAAATTTGTCAGGTTAGCAGCACAAGAGCAAACTGTTCAAACAAACAGAACAATGCTTCACAAAATGCAATTTAACTTATTTTCTTAACTGTGGGCTGATTCCTATTTATGCTAATTCATAACAGATTATGAACTCTATTATGTAATTGGAAAAATGACCATAAAACTTTCACAGTCCTAAAGAGGTTTTGGTTGTCTGTTTTTTTACACTCCATTGCTTACAAGGGCTGGCACACACATGGGCTGGACCCGTGTCCCCAAGTCACCCCACACACACAGAGCCACCATCGATTGCAGGGCACAGCTCCGCTCCACGCAGCAAATGAAGCCATTTATCGAGCCCTGGCGTTGCTCTGTGAGGGACTGTGGGAGGGACATGGATCTGTGTAGAGGCTGAGGCACACCAGGATGTGGCCAACTGCCCCATCTCTGGGACTGTTCAAGGCCAGGTTGGATGGGGCTTGGAGCAACCTGGTCTAGGGGAAGGTGTCCCTGCCCACAGCAGGGGGTGGGATGAGATGGGCTTTCAGGTC